GTGCAAGAGAGTGTATGGCTTGGCAATGCTTGGAGGCGCTATGGAAGTTCCTTATAATCTCGTGGTACTAAGCGCCCCTGTTCATAGAACTACACCATGACGCCTTCTAATACACCTACATCGTTTGAATCAGTCACCGGAGTGAAACAACGTCGTTATAATCTTTTTTCGCATTTGAAATAAAACATATGGTTGGAGGCGCCATATAAGTTCGTTAAGATTTAACGGTGCTAAGCGAGCGACTGTATAAGCCGTACGCTGTCCAATACAACAGCATTTGAGTAGGTCACCATATTGCGCCTACTTCGTACAATCTTTTCTCGCATTTAGGAATATTTTTTAGCACCAGTTCAATGGCTTAGGAGTTGATTCTGTCACGGTAATCATCAAAATTTATCACATTATGCGGGGCGCCTCTCCCAGGTGCTGCAAATTTTAACATCATATAGTCCTTAAATTGAAGAGAATCATTGGGAATTTCCTTCGAACACAGTAAATTTTAATTCTCTATTGTTATTTTTCCACAGCACTGGTTTTGAAATCATGTTACAATTCTTCAAGCCTCATGATACCTCCATTGTAGTTAGTACCATGAAGCAATAATTACATTATACAGTCAGTTTGGATAGGTCTTCTCGACGGACCAGTTTTCAGGTCTCCAGGAAACACGTCACCAACATCATCCGAAGCTATGCGTTCGTAGCTTCGGTCGTAGCTTCAAATCCAACTGAAAATTTTCAGTAACAATGTACGTGTAACCGCAATTTCATAGAAATGCCTTCTGTTACTTGTTGTTCCGACCTTCAGTTGCCTTTTTTAGTACCGAGGTTGACTGATAGTTTATATCGCGCATTCTGTTCATACCTGCCTTATGAGCGAATTGTGGTCGAGGCGCTATTAATCTGCTTATATCTGCGACCAGCCGCAATGTTGCAAATTTCATTTTATATTTTGAATCTATTCTGATATTAAATATTACTTGAAAAAAGAAGCCTGCGAAGAATAAAAAATAAATAGACATTGTTCAAGCGCTCTTTGTATAATAGAGAACTTCACTACATGTGTTCTTCAATATTTTCAATGAAGAAAAACATTATTTCAACACTGGACTGATATCGTTTTTGCTCGAGCGTTTTGATCGTTTAATTATCGGTAGCAGGAAAAATAATCAACGAAATATTGATGATTATGTTATAGCATATTCCCATACCCGAAAACCACGACAGAAATATATTTAGATATCGTATGCATTTTAGGAAATTCAACCCAGGAATTCAACCTGAGAAGTACGCGAATATGTATATACACCCGAGTTTTCTCTCCTTATAAAATTTCAACCCATAATCGCCCGTCATTATTTATCTCTATTGATCAGTTGAAAATACGGGTGTTATTCGTGTTACTGAATAATAATCTGTAAGAAGTCTTTCATGACTTTTTCATCTCATTAGATAGAAAGCTTGTTGGATCCATGCATTATCGCGCTAAAAATTTTACTATATCTGTTGGGCTAGGAAGACATCAAGCAGGCGATACCTGTTTAATAATGACTAGACTTTTTCTACATCCAGGGCGAGTTGGCGTTAAATAAATCGACTAACTCGCAATATTTTATCATGTGCTCGTAGTTATGATACTGAACTGAACTGCGTATATAAGACTGTGAAGACGAGGGCAGTTGGTGAGAATAGTTTAGTCTGGGATACAATTGTCCGTGGAGGCTCTGTACTTTTGCAAGTTTTCAGTAGTCATTAATATGAAATTTAGTCTAGTAATGCAATTTATGAGATTTCTGAGTGTTTTAAAATATAATTATTGCGCCCCAGTGCTGTGAAGCGCTTAGGGTCACGAAGCCTTGCCGGCTTTGTCAATTTACGCACCTCGGGAAATCTTATTATTTGGCGACCAATCTATTTCAATACCAGACAAAGTTTGGGCATCGCTGCTGCCCTTTATCGGCAACAGCGGCTTGACGAGGCGCTTTTGTCCGACAGCAGCGGACATTTTAATCGATCGGTCATGAAGAAGCATTCGATGTTCGAATATTTGTTGAAACAAAATATATTTCCCTTTGCTGAAATCATTGAATAACTCGGCCAAACTAACCTCGTGAGGTCGAATGTTTATGCCGGCGCTTGTGCTCCACTGGCGACTCAGCCAATTATATCATAGCGATAACTTGGTGAAGGATATTCCTTATGGGAATGCATCTCAGTGCTTCGAAATTCTTTGAATTTTTACAACACTTCTCTTCAACTTCACTTCTTGTTTGTTTGTTAGTTTGTCTGTCTGCTACAAATCTTATAATCGAAATGTAACGCACTTCTACTTTTCCTATCAATCTGAAATTTTGCACACGTGCGTAAAATTGGATACAATGCATGAATCAATTGACAGAAAAAAAAATTGACAGAATAAATAAGTAAAAAAATTTTAAATAATAATTTCTTTAATATTAAAAAAATTATAAATAATTTTGTCTGCTACAAATCTTACAATCGATATTTAACACACTTCTACCTGTCCAATCGACCTGAAATTTTGCACACTTTCGTAACGTCGGACACAATGCATGATTAAATTGACAGAATATTAATTTTGAAACTTTAAATTTTTTGATATGGAAACAAAAATTGATTTTCTTCAATATTTGAAAATAAAATTTGAAATAGATTGTACATGTGTAACTTCAGAGACACTGGATTCTTTGAAAGTGTTGTCTTTATAAAGCAATTTTAAACGCATATTATTTCTTCTACAAACTATAAATATTTCTTGAACCACATTCAACAGTTGTTATTGAACGGAGATAGCTTTAGTGTATTTTATATGTTATATTATCGCAGAACGATAGATGCCTCTCATGAGGGAAGTAAGCTTTTGATTCATATATTTTAGTTTTTCTATTGGCATTCGATTTTCGGAAAGAAACTTTTCTCCACAAAGAAAATTAAACTTTTTGATGGATTCGTACATTTTTCTCGTGTTTCCCTACAGACTCGCTCCTAACAAACGCATCGTCGCACACGCGGCAACGAGCCACGGAGATGCCAACGAGTGATTTAGTAACATATTTCGTACACCATATTTGTTTCTAGGGTTACGAAAACCAGTACTGGAAAATTACAAGCGAAGCGGTCAATGGCACATAGAGAAATATTGAGTTTTTTTGTACGTTTAGGTCAATAATAGCTCGTTTTTGCCGAGTAGTTTAAGGTGATGGAGATTGGAGCAACGAGTTGGGGGATCGAAACTTGCATGGACTCGTGAAATTTTGATTAGTTAGATTTTTAATAAGAAGTTTAATATCTACGTAGTTTAATAAGAAGAAGATTTATTATCTACGAACAAATTGATCTTCTGCAATTCTGACCAAGGGTTACTCGCCTTCATTTGATTTATTAGACAATCGCCGCCTCGTGAGGCGCCTGTGTCGGACTGGTGCCTTCCTCAATCGTTTGGCCATGAAAAGCATCAAATTCTTAATCGATTCAGTTGAGAAAAATTCAATCTAAAGGAATATCAACATTTCGTTACAAAAATGATCCTGACAGAATGCTTCTTTTCGAACAAACAATTTAATTTAAATGAAACTTGTATTAGATCTTAAATGAAAGGAATTTTTTCAATATATATGATCATTCCAGAACCGATTTTTTGAAATTTTTAACCATGGCTTGAACGTCTTGATCGCTCCGTTGTTGGTGGCAGCAATAATATGCATGTTAAAATATTACTGGACGTGCAGTATAAGTTAAGCTTTCTTTATGCATGCATCAACAATATCATCATTATTGTTACTGCAGCTTTTTTCCTCCTCAAATAAAGTAAAGGGATTGGCGACAGGCAGTTCAATGCTGATGATCCAACACCCACCACCGTGTGCACAAAGTCGAGTAAATGTAACTGAATTGCTACGATTGCTATATTAGAAGTTAGTGTCAGTGAACCGATTTGGCATTTGCCTTCATGTTATCATCCACGTTGACTGCACTCAACTGACAGATTCGATGTGACAATGGCCAGTTTGATTAAAAATTAAACTTTTTAAGCCAAGATGAGATTAGTAATCAATGATGTGGGCAACCCGAGTACATAAAATTCAACTATTTATTCAACAAATTTCCCGATGTTTAATAATTACGCGAGTCGCCCCTGCAGCACAACCGCCGGCACAAACATTCGACCTCACGAGGTCAGTTTGGTCGAGTCTTTGAAGATGAGGAATGCCATCGGCAACAATTTCCTTGCATTTAATGCAGCCTTTACACAAGAAGTTTGACTTTATTCTAATTTACGAAAGAAAGTTCATGCATTTGAAAATAATAGCGATTTCAGCGCTCATTAGACCGTAGGCCTGCCAACGATTCTGAACATAGCATAATTTTCACAGCTCGTTACGATTTCGAACACGATCTCGTAACTCGAGTACGTAACTCGCTGCTTTGCTTTGCTTAACTGCCTCTCTTCTGCAATCCTGGCTGTAACCATTAGGCCACCTTGTCCACTTTGCCTTTCACGGAACAATTTCAGTATCCCAAATATCACGTGAAATAACGCCTTCGTCCTCCATATTTTTTAGTCGAAATTGAAATTGGGGATCAAATCACAAGACGAACCAATTAAACAAATACACGACGGAAGCGTTTACAATAATTATTTTACCAACTGGAGCTACTGTTTCGCCAGCTCTTTTGTAACGACCAGCCAAGAAAAACCGGTCCGGGAGAACTGCTTGCGTCCCGTTCAAGGTGTCTAAATGATGAATTAAAAGACGAAGAGCAGCAAAATAATCTTTATTTATATTGAATGAATGGCGTCAAAGAAGGCTGGAACTTTTAGTTCCATGGCGCCAGTCGGGCCGGTCCCGGCGTTCGCAGGCGCACGCGTCCAGGCGTTGATGCTTGGGCTAGGTTAATTAAGGTTAATTAATTAAGGTTAATCTTAATTTAGGTTACAGTTACACATTATTATAGAGGACATAAGTTTAAGTTATAATTATGGCATTGGTTAGTTATAGTTAATAAGTACCAAGTTATAGTAACGATAATAAGTTTTAGTTATAGTAAGTGTAATAAGTTTCAAGTCGAGGTTATAAGCAGCAGATGTAAGTTATAATGCAGACGGAAGGTTCTTTAAGGATTACTAGGACAGCAGCGCGCACCCCCCGATCGTGGGCTCAGAACTATAACAACTCGCATGGCTCTCCTCCACGACCAAGGGCGCCCGCCAGTCCCAGGGCAGGTCCCGCGCTCGTAGTAGACCCCAGACGTCGGGTGGCAGGACGACCGACGTCAGAAACGGGCCCCAGACGTCGGGTGGCAGGACAACAGACGTCAGAAACGGGCCCCAGACGTCGGGTGGCAGGACGACCGACGTCAAAAACGGGCCCCAGCCGTCGGGCGGCAGGACGACAGACCTCAGAAACGGGACCCAGACGTCGGTTGGCAGGACGACCGACGTCAGAAACGGGCCACAGACGTCGGGTGGCAGGACGACCGACGTCAAAAACGGGCCACAGACGTCGGGTGGCAGGACGGCAGACTTCAGAAACGGGCCCCAGACGTCGGGTGGCAGGACGGCAGACTTCAGAAACGGGCCCCAGACGTCGAGTAAGGCGACAGACGTCAGGCAGGGCGACAGACGTCAGGCAAGGCGACAGACGTCAGGNATCTTTATGGAATTATGTAATGGAAGAACAAGATGAGGGGCATTGTCATGACATAAGCGACACACGCAAAGAGAAGACTCTGTAATAAAATGTTTCAGTTACTGCACTATTTTAATTTGTGAGAAATTTCCGAAGAAAACGGAATTTTTTCATCGAAGAAAACGAAATTTTGGGATAAACTAATACATTTTTCTCCTGTTCCCTGTGGAATCGCTCATAACAGATGAATCGTAACACAACTGGCAAGTAGGAGAGTGCAGATGTCAGCCACAGTTTTAACTCCTAAACAAGCCTTGTAGCAAACGCTTTGTATAAACATGCTCAGATAATGTCAGCCTCAGAGTTACAATGTCGCAGACCGCGCTAGAAACATCGCAAGCCACACCAGTTCTGCGGCGGCTTTGAGCCAAAGGCGTTGTGAGCCTGCAGCCAATGCTACAACAAATACAAATTAATTAGGCTGCATTTTAAAATTGAAAATACAAATACTTATTAGGTCCAGTTTTATGGAAGTTCATTGGTATTTCTCACTATTTAGTCTGAGATAGACGACGATAACTCACAGTTGTGGCTGCCCTCCCGCAACACCATTCATAGGATAAGAGAATACTTCAGTTATAGATGGAATTTTCATTTGTTTAGAAAGTTCTAGCTGTAGTGTTCAGTTGTTGTGTATCGATTACCATATGCTCAGAATTTTTCAACAAACAATCAAATTTGAGTTTTAATATTTATGTAATTTTTTGATCCCTTCAGGTCAGTTGACAGAAGGGTCGTAGGAACGTAAATGCGATTGGATGACGTGACAATGATTGGGAGCGCTATGTAATACCTCCAAAATCTTATGTTGCTAAGCACCCCTTACATACAACTACAGCGTGACGCCTACAACGCCTACATACAACGCCAGCATGACGATGTACATACACCTACATCGTTTGAGTCGGTCACCAGACTGAAACAGCGTGGCATAATCTTTTTTCGCATTTTGAAATAAAGCATATGGTTGGAGGCGCCATATCAGTTCGTTAAGATCTAACGGTGCTAAGCGCGCGACTGTATAAGCCGTACGCTGTCCAATGCAGCAGCGATTGAGTAGGTCACCATATTGCGCCTCCATCGCACAATCTTTTCTCGTATTAATAATATTTCGAGCAACAGTTCATTTCCATAATGAATAACATGCTACATTATGGAACCATACTACATCATGGTTCCATACATGTCAACATGGTGCATGTCCATCATGGTACATGTCAACATGCTATATTACGTTGCCATTTGAACAACATGCTACATGAGTAACGATAGTTTTGTAAATAAAAATTTCAAACTGGAATCAGTAAATTTTACGCCAAATATAGTCTATATAAATTATAAAACTGTTGTGATAACTAATGTTCAATTGTATTTATATTACATTTTGTTATTGGTACTGATGTTAATTGGATTAGCATGGTCATAAATGAAATGTCTGAGTTGTTGGATTACTGATTAAAATTGGACGGATGGTAATTCATCAAGGGTTCGTAGCTAGGGGACGATTCGCTGGGGTAGCTAACGGAATATATATACGTGGTCGATACACAATTAATTCTTCACTCGTTGAGGATAATGAAACGATGTTGCTTCATTTCTGACGGTTGAGCGCACAGTAGTGTACCGAGGAGCGGGCTAATATCAATCATGATAGAAAGATCATAGAAATGTCTATGTGGATTGTTAAGCGCGCTCCAGCAATGGCATAGGAATCGATTTCGGCATTGCAATCGTCAATATTAAATCATGTAATGCGGGGCGCCTCTCCCAGGTGCAGCAATTTATACCATCATTTGGTCCTTAAATTGAACAGAATCTTTGTGAATTTCTTTCACACACAGTAAATTTTGATTCTCTATTGATATTCTTCCCCAGAACAGGTTTTGAAATCATGTCACCATTCTTGAAGCCTATTTATACCTCTATTTTCTGAAGCACCATGAAGCAACAATTACATTGTTGCTTTACTTGGCAGTTCATACATCTTTCTGAAATTCTACAACGGCAGGACAAGTTGAGGGGGCTTTGTGTTGACAGAAGCGATACAGTCAGTTTGGATAGATCTTCTCGATGGACCCGTTTTTCAGGTCTCCAGGAAACACGTCACGAACATCACTATAGAAGCTACACATTCGTAGCTTCGAATTCAACTGAAATTTTCAGTAACAATGTACGTGTAATCACAATTTCATAGATATGACTTCTGTTACCATGTTGTTCCGACCTTTAGTTGCCTTTTTTTAGTACCGAGGTTGACTTGATAGTTCACACCCTGCATTCTGTTCATACCTGCCTTAGGAGCGAATTATTTCTGTGTTAATTTCGCGCTCATACTCATTTGTTCATATATTATAGTCTGAAGTAGTCAAGCTAACCTTTTGAATCAAAATATGTAGATTATTAAATTCTCTGCCAATATGTTGCTTCGAATTGTTCGAATTATTAGACACTAAAAATTTAAAAGGAAAAAAAAATTCCACGAAAATTCATACCATTATAGAAAAAGTTTTGAGGTAGGCTGTGTCTACCTGAAAAAAAGAGTCAATAGTTGAAGCATTTTACATCCTGCTACTTGTTAATTCTACAGTGATGGAAACTTAGGATACATGAGTCGGCCAATGAATTTATGCTAATGAAGAGGTCGTCTTTAGTTTGGATGTCCAATTAAATACAAGGTTGTGCTCAAAGATTGTTATTAGGTTATATAGTAATAATGTTTTTTATAACACGTGATAAACCTGCCAATTTTGGAGCAACTCTCAGATTACCTATTATTACATGATTATATATATGAAATTATTATACATTACCTGGAAGAAGGGCTTGCGAAGAATGAATATTTTAAAGACGATCGGTCCAAATGCTCGTGGTGTGAGAGGAACGTTGCAATATGTGTTTTTCTATGTTTTAAGACAAACAAACATGTCAAACAAATATTTGAACATCGAATGCTTCTTCATGACCGAGCGACTGAAGTGTCCGCGGCTGTCGGACAAAGGCGCCTCATCAAGCGGCGGTTGCCGAGGGCAGCAGCGATGCCCAAGCTTTGCCAGATAAATCAATTCAAGTTTTGTGACCCGTCATCGTGAGCGCCCGAAGCGTGTCTGTAGGCTTTGAAGACAAACAGTCTCATAACATTCCATGCAATTAAACACATTCCAGCCCTGAGGGCTCAAAAATTAACTACATGAATACTATTCGCTGGTCAACGATTCAATTGACGTCAGACAAGGGGTGCGGAGAAATTCTAACACAAAGTCTCTCTGCCAGGGAGTCAACTCCTGCGAGATAACACGACACTCGCAGATCATCCCATCACCAACCTGTTGGGAGGGAATTAATGACAAGATAGAAATGAGTGTTCAAAAACTTTATTGAAAATTCTCTTACAAATATTTAACCTACAATATCAACACAGCAATTGAAACCAACTAACAAATTCCATTCAAATCGGGCAATTCATGGATTGGCAATAGAATCGAATCAGTAAATAAAATTCTTTTCTTAAAATTAGATCACGGTAAGAATCATAGGCAAATCGAATAGAACAAGAACATCACGGTAAGAATCATAGGCAAATCGAATAAAACATTTCCTGTCTTAAAAGTACATCACGGTAAGAATCACAGGCAAATCGAATAGAACAATAACATCACGGTAAGAATCATAGGAAAATCGAATAAAATATTTCCTTTCTTAAAAGTATTTCACGGTAAGAATCACAAGCAAATCGAATAAAACATTTCCTGTCTTAAAAGTACAACATTAGCATTTCATCCGGAGGCTGCCTGAGTTCTGTAATTTCTTTAGTACTTTGGCTACCGCATGAGCCAAAGATCATGATCGATCGATGCTCATGACTGATCCTTTGTCTTTCTCCGATGTCGTGACTGGATCGATGCTCAACACTGATCCTTGATCAGAAGGACTTGGAGCGTCAATGGATATGACGGGAGATCTTTTCCTCATAGACTTTTTGGGTTTATGCTTGCCGCCCGCCTTTCCCTTCGGAACATTGTCCGTTTCAGGGGCAACCATCACATTATCATCACTTTCTTCATCCTCACCCAAATCCTGTTCATCTTGCGGCAAGTCAAATTCGGCTTGCTCGCAATAAGCTGCCATCATTGATTGTTCCAAGCCTTCTTCCTCTTCTTCGGAATCGTCAGAAGAGCAGGCCTCTTGTGCTTGATCCTTCCTGGAGGCATGCGCTTGAGCAAGCTTTGCCTTCTTTGCGGCCTTCGTTGGTTCGATATCTTTGACAATGACGATGTCCAAATCGTCAACTGCCTTTGCGTTCGAGCCGGGGGTATTAGCGGCAGCAACTATATCATTTCGCGCAAAGGGAGCCTTGAAAGACTCTTGCCGTCCATAGACTTTATGCCATATATGAACTTCTTATGCCAGAACTTCTTACTTGTGTCGTATGAGTACTTGTGTACTTACTTGTGTCATCTGGTACTTACTTGTGTCATCTGGTAATTTCGGGTCGTCACAGCTATCACTGTCATCATCACATCTATATCTTTTACTGCTCATCTTTGCTTTGTTTCTGCAAACTCTGAAACGGGAACATAGGGGATTCTCGTGAAACATAAGCATAATCTCACATTAACATATGCCTTAATCAATAAAATATATTCAAACTCCACCACCTATGCAGAACACTAACTGCAAAGGTGGTTGAGAGTTAATGCCGTGCACATTAGCCATACTGATATGAGCATCAGTATGTTGATCCCTTCAGCTGCTTAGAAGCTGTGCAATCGGTCTTTGGAGGGGTATTCCATGCTCAACAGCAACTTTGCTGTTGATTTTGCGTCATTTGATTTTGCGCTGCATTCCGTGTCCCAGAAGGAACCTTTCTCCGAAAGGTTCCATTTGAACGCTTTTTATGTCCAATTCGTGAGGGGAATTGACACCGGCAGGTTTTGAAACCTTTCTGGTAATTGTGCCCATGAGGGAATTTTTTGACACCTTTCAATTCAAGAAAAATCCAATTGATTCAAGCTTATTGGCTTAAGTCACACCATCAATCAACATCATTTAGCGTTGTGCATTGCTTGTATGAAATGCAGACAGCCAGGGCCATTTTGAAAATTTTATGGAGAAAATTTTTTCCGCTTTTTTTATAAGCCAAAATAAAGGCCTCGCAAAGCTGCGTCTGCCATAACTTTTGCAACTCAATAGTGATATAAATGGCTCCAGTTCGCACGAAAGGGTCATTTTTTTACCTTCAGGCCATGAAATTCGAGGGCTTTGAACTTTGCATTCAACTTCCTGAGTCACCGTATGTGCTAGGAAAATTTTTTTTTGTCACGAAAAAGGTGGAAATTTTTCGCTTTCAACAATACTAAGGTCCTTTTCAGAAGGTAATATTTGGTCCCCGAGGTGCATCCGCGAAGTGCATAGATTCCCTTGAATCCGTTGGCTTTCGTTCCGCGACGGCTTGAAGCCGAAGGCGTTGTGAGCCTGCAGCCACTGCTCAAGCATATACAATTAATTAACTTGCATTTTAATATTAAAAATGTTACAAATGCTTAGTAAGGCCAGTCTTATGGAAGTTCATTGGTATTTTCCACTATTTAGTACGAAGTAGACGGGGATAGCCAATATGTGGGCAGGGTGGCCCAGTGGTTAAAGTGCAGAGTACCAAGATTGGCGCAGAGAGGCGCGGGTTCGATCCCAGCTCTGTGCGCCAGTTTCTGGTCAGAATCGGCAAGGAGGCCGGGCGGTTAAG